TTATTTGCAGGATCACGACAATGATCATGATTCAGATAATGAAGCTGAAAATGCTTCTGATTTTTCAGACACCCTTGTGGATACTCCATCTCATGAAGATATTGAGCCAAAACATCTTGATGTCTGTGTGCATGAAAATAACGACCCCAGTAAATCTCACTCATCTGCAAGTTCACCTCCAGAGAGGAAAGGGTCCTTAGAAAGTTCTGAAGAAAGGGAGAGTGAGGACAGAATTTTCGATGCTGCAGCTGCAGCAAGATCTGCACAACCAACCGGCAACACATTCTCCACGACTAAAGTTCGTACAAAATTCCCTTTCCTTGTTAAGCACTCTCTACGTGAATATCAACATATTGGCTTGGATTGGCTTGTGACTATGTATGAGAAAAGACTAAATGGGATTCTTGCTGATGAAATGGGGCTTGGGAAGACAATCATGACCATTGCTTTGCTTGCTCACCTTGCTTGTGAAAAGGGAATATGGGGTCCCCATCTTATTGTGGTTCCAACGAGTGTCATGCTTAATTGGGAGACTGAGTTTCTTAAATGGTGTCCTGCTTTTAAAATTCTTACTTACTTTGGAAGTGCAAAAGAGCGCAAGTTTAAGAGGCAAGGATGGATGAAACCAAACTCATTTCATGTTTGCATAACAACTTACAGGTTGGTTATCCAGGATTCTAAAGTTTTCAAACGGAAGAAGTGGAAATATCTAATACTAGATGAAGCTCATCTAATTAAAAATTGGAAGTCACAAAGGTGGCAGACTCTCTTGAACTTCAATTCTAAACGACGGATTTTACTAACTGGTACCCCCCTTCAAAACGATCTGATGGAACTCTGGTCCTTGATGCACTTTTTGATGCCCCACATTTTTCAGTCTCATCAGGAATTTAAGGATTGGTTCAGCAATCCAATTTCTGGAATGGTAGAGGGGCAGGAAAAAGTGAATAAGGAAGTTCTTGATCGCTTGCACAATGTTCTCCGCCCCTTTTTACTTCGTCGGCTGAAAAGAGATGTAGAGAAGCAGCTCCCGAAGAAATATGAGCATGTCATAAACTGTAGATTGTCAAGAAGGCAGCGCCATTTGTATGAAGACTATATTGCTAGTTCAGAAACACAAGCTACCCTTGCCAGTGGCAATTTCTTTAGTATGATTAATGTTATTATGCAACTTAGAAAAGTTTGTAACCATCCTGATTTGTTCGAGGGTCGTCCAATCATCAGTTCTTTTGATATGGCAGGCATTGTCATACAGTTGAGTTCTTCTGTATGTTCTGCACTATCACCTAGCCGGTTTTCTACAGTCGATCTTAAGGGGTTGGGACTTCTATTCACTCATCTTGACTTTAGCATGACTTCATGGGAGAGGGATGAAGTGAGAGCTATTGCTACCCCATCGAGTTTAATCAAGGGGTGTACTGATGTGAATAAAACTGAGGAAAGTGGAGCTGGATTTAGATATCGGAAGAGATTCCATGGATCGAGTATTTTTGCAGACATTCAAAATGCCATTATGGAGGAAAGAGTAAGGCAGGCAATGGAACGAGCAGAAGCTACAGCATGGTGGAATTCCTTGAGATGTGACAGAAAGCCAATTTATTCGGCATCCCTTAGGGATTTAGTGACGGTAAGGCATCCGGTTTATGATTTATACCAGCATAAGGCGAATCCCTCATCCTATTGTTATTCCTCAAAAATAGCTGACATTGTCCTTTCACCAGTGGAACGTTTCCAGATGATGATGGGCTTAGTTGAAAGTTTCACGTTTGCAATACCAGCTGCACGGGCTCCACCGCCTCTGTGCTGGTACAGTAGAGGCCATTCTGACGTGCTTCTGCATCCATCTTATGAGCAAAATTGCTCCCGACTCATGTTTCCCCTTCTAACTCCAATAAGATCTGCAATTATTCGGAGGCAAGTGTATTTTCCAGACAGGAGGCTGATACAATTTGATTGTGGCAAATTGCAGGAACTTTCTATCCTGCTAAGGAAACTAAAATCTGAAGGTCACCGAGCATTAATATTCACCCAAATGACAAAGATGCTTGATATCTTGGAGGCTTTCATCAATCTGTATGGTTATACTTACATGCGTCTGGATGGATCCACTCAGCCTGAGGAGAGACAGACGTTAATGCAGCGATTTAATACCAACCCAAAAATTTTCCTTTTCATATTATCAACTCGAAGTGGGGGTGTAGGTATCAATCTTGTTGGTGCAGATACTGTTATCTTTTATGACAGTGACTGGAACCCTGCTATGGATCAACAAGCACAAGACCGCTGTCATCGCATAGGACAGACACGTGAAGTTCATATATATCGTCTAATTAGTGAGAGCACCATTGAAGAGAATATCTTAAAGAAGGCAAATCAGAAGCGTGCTCTTGATAATCTTGTTATTCAAAGTGGTAGTTACAACACTGAATTCTTCCAGAAGCTTGATCCTATGGAATTGTTCTCAGGTCATAGGTCTCTTGCCATAAAAAATATGCAAAAGGAAAAAAATCACCCCACCAATGGAAATGAGGTTTCTGTATCTAATGCGGATGTGGAGGCTGCTTTGAAGTTTGTTGAAGATGAAGCAGATTATATGGCTTTGAAGAAAGTTGAAGAAGAAGAAGCTGTGGATAATCAGGAATTTACTGAAGAGGTTATTGGGAGGATGGAAGATGATGAGTTTATGAATGACGATGATATGAAGCTTGATGAAGGTGGAGATCAAGCTGGTGACATTGTTATGTCAAACAAAGACAATGAGGCAATAATACATGGAGCTAGTGATCCTAATGAAGAGAGAGCTGTAATTGTAGCTACCAAAGAAGATGATGTTGACATGCTGGCAGATGTCAAGCAAATGGCTGCAGCAGCTGCTGCAACTGGACAAACCATATTGTCCATTGATGATCAGCTACGGCCAATAGATCGATATGCAATACGTTTTCTGGAACTGTGGGATCCTATACATGACAAAGCAGCTGTGGAATCAGATGTCCAGTTTGAGGAGACAGAATGGGAACTGGACCGTCTTGAGAAGTATAAAGAGGAGATGGAAGCTGAGATTGATGAAGATGAAGAACCTCTTGTATATGAAAGTACGTGTATTATCGTTTTAGTGTCTTATGATTATAACATTAATTCTTCTATATTTTTTCTCACAAGTACATTATTCTGGTCACCACATGTTAAATGTCATGCTTCATGCGAGCGGTCAGTAATGTTATCAGTGGGAGGATGTTGGCTTCCATTAAAATCAATAAAGTTATGGAAAATATACTAATTCACTTAGTTGCAAATTTCTTCTTTTCACTGTTATAAATGTTTTCTTAGAATATTTTTATATGGACTTACACATATATTCATTTTAAAATTTTGAGATGCTAATCTGTCCTTCTATTGTAAAGTAGTTGCGTATTTGAATACCTCTGGTTAGTGCACATTTTAAGAATTTGACCTTTATATCTTATGCATGGCTGATTGATGATTACTTGATTTGTTAAGAAATGATGAATGCTGTATCTTCATGAATTTTTGTGTTTTTTTACAGGTTGGGATGCTGATTTTGCAACTGAAGCATATAGACAGCAAGTTGAGACCCTGGCACAACATCAGGTTCGAAGCAGATATTCTGCTCTTTTGAATCTAATGTTTCATCTTGTATACTCATTACCTTTATTCTTCTTATTTATTACACAGTTGATGGAGGATTTGGAATATGAGGCTAAGCGGAAAGAAGAAGAAGAGGCTGAAAATGATCCCACGAGGTGAAACAATGTTTGAGTTCTCATTGGAAACTGTAAAATATAATAGAAGATAGATGAAAATAATCAGTAAGAACTACTATGTTGGTCTAACTGTTGAAACGGGGTAAGTTGTAAACCCATATAATGTTCTGGTCAGGGAGGGACTCATTCAAACCATGGTTGCCATCCATTTAATATTTATTTGTTTCTTTACGCCTAATTTTGTAGAATTAGGTAGTTTTTCATGAGGTCAGTTGAGTTACACTTAAGCTTAGTTCAAACCCGTGGTTATTAGAAAAAGGTAGGTTAATAAGGAAGTTTCTTATTTTCTGTGAGTTCTAAGTTAATAGGGGAGCTTCTAGTTCTCCTTGTAATCGGACGTAGCTGATTTTGAATTGTTTGGTTGCTTTCACATGATTTATCTGTTCTGGTTATTTGAGATAAATATACTCCACTACAGATTCATTTTAGAAAATCAAAATACTGTTAACTTTAGGTGTGAAATTTTGTGCATATATATTTACTGCTTTTCCATGTTTCTACCTAAAATTTAAATTATTAAAATATTTAGAATAACAAAATCTTATAGCAAAATCAATAGTTACAATGATAAGTGTTGGAATCAATAACCTTGATGGTGGGGATGTTGTATGTCATGGGTTTTGTTTTTTGTTTTCTTGAGGATTCTTTCTCGAGTTCAACTCTTATTTTCTTTGCAGGAATGCAACACCCAGTGAACCAAAACCTAAGTCTAAAAAGAAATCCAAGAAAACCAAGTTCAAATCTCTGAAGAAGGGTTCTCTTTCTTCTGAGTTGAAGTTGGTGAAAAAAGAAGCATCGATGGAGTTCATGTCTACAGATGATGAAGATATATGTAGTGATGATATCCTTGAATCATTATCAGCTCAGTCAAGCTTACAGAAAAAACGTAAGAGGGCTGAATTTAGTCTTGATAGCGAGTCAGGAAAATCCCTGAAGAAAAAATCTAAAAAGTTCAGGAAAAATATTGGGGATATTTCCTCACTTGATCTACAGCCCAATGCGTCAGGTGTGCAATGTGATGAAGCTATAGAAGTTAAACCACGCGAGAATGGTGTTGATCTTGAACATAAATTAGTTGGCCGTAGTAGAATGGGAGGGAAGATATCTATTACATCCATGCCAGTGAAGAGAGTATTAATGATAAAACCGGAGAAGCTAAAAAAGGGGAATATTTGGTCAAGGGATTGTGTTCCTTCCCCAGACTTTTGGTTGCCGCAGGAGGATGCAATATTGTGCGCAATGGTACATGAATATGGCACACATTGGAGTTTGATCAGTTCAACCCTATACAGTATGACTGCTGGTGGGTCTTATAGAGGGAGATACCGCCATCCTGTTCATTGTTGTGAGAGGTATAGGGAACTCATACAAAGGTATGTCATATCTGCACCAGATAATCCTAATAATGAGAAGACCACAAATGCTAGCTCTGGAAAAGCTCTTCTCAAAATCACAGAGGTTAGTTAATGATAATGTGGATGCTTCAAATGATAATTTCCATTTAATATTCAAAATTTTGGCAGTTAAGCTTGTGCATGTTATTATTTGTTCTCTTCTGGGTTCATCAAACTAAGGATGTTGCAGACTTAATCACAAAGTTATTTAGAAGTAGTTTTTTGGAGTACAGTTTTGTGCTATATTTGTTAATATTCGTGTGCATGCTGAGCTTTTTGATAAATGTGACAAAGGATTCTCAGTCATCAGTTTTCTGTTTCAGGAAAACATTCGAGTACTGTTAGACATAGCTGCTGAGCAGCCTGATGGAGAGCACCTACTTCAGAAGCACTTCACTGCCCTGCTCTCAACCGTGTGGAAGGCTAGATCACGTGGCGACTGTTGTTTAGATACCTCACTTTATCGGAATGGTTTTTATTCTGGTGGAAGGTATTTTGCAACTGGTAACCACATTTCTCGATATTTGGGAAGGGAAACTACAGGGAAGTTGAAATTTGGTAACCCAGGACACAATTATAAGTTACTAGCTGCTGCACTTAGCGATGCTGGTTGTATGAGGAAAGATGATAAAAAGTCCCATCCCTATCATGGGGAACGTGCATCAGTCACTACAGAGCAGTTGGAGTTAATACTCGAGTTCGAGGGGGAGGATGATCATAACATGCCATTTCCATCTTCCATTAACTTATCAGTATCTGATTCAGTTTACTTGCCCTTGATGAACATGGATACATGTGAATCTTCCGATGTTCGGAGGCGGAAGGGAGTTGCTGAGGGCCGATTGAGGTATAATCCTTGTTCTCTCCCTGACTCTTTCAGCAACTTAAACTGTGAAGTTATGACATGTATGCTCTGATTTCTCCATAGTGTGTAGTACTTTTTCTTAGAACAAGAAATAAACTTTTCATTGATAATATGAAAAGTAAGAAATATGTTCAAGGATACAAGCTTCAAAAGAAGTGAAAAAATGAGGAAAAACAACCGACATGAGGAAAAACAACCAACAAGGAACAAAGGTGTAGAAAATATAAGAAAATAGAACCATTGACCAGGATCACAACCATCAAACTGCAAAAGCAACATCAAAATAAACTAATGCTCAAGTAATAACAAAAAACTGAATACTGAATGAGCGGAGACTTGAAGAACTTTCTGATAGACCACCTATCATAAAGACATATAATAGGAAGGGCAAAGGGGTAATTGTAGATGGCCATAACGGCCAAGAGAGAGAAGATGGTACAAGTGGGGCAATGTAAGAGTGGGCCGTTGTCTATAAGGCCAGGGAATGTAGGAGGGAAGGGATCATCCTAGTTTTTGTGCTTTTACAGCTTTTGTAGTTGGTTGGAGAGATTACTCACCCTCTCGGATTGGTGGGTCGGTTTTCATTGCCTAAGGGCTCTTTTGTTGTTTTGTATTGCCTACGGGCTCTTTGCTAAGGAATCAAACAGCTTGTGAGGGTTGATACCTCACACTTTCTTAATCAAAGCTTGCAAATCCAAAAAGGACCGTCTACTGAGGAGAATCCAAAAACCACCACCAAACAAATAACTGAGGAGCTAAAAATTCATGAGCAATGAGCGAGATGATCTTTGACTGCAAGAACCAAGAAGTAATAATTCAAAAGAAACCTCCCCCACCATCATGTGTAGTATTGCAATGGGTAGAGTTTGTTATCCACTTATACTTTGAAAGTTCTCTTAGACTTCAAGTGAGGATTGCTGGTTAATCAGGACAGATCTGATGACTCCCCCTTTTCCATGTTTTACCAATGTTTACTCCAACTCATCTTTCTGGCTAACAATGATCTCTTCAGGTATCCAGTTTTGCCCATAACTGGATCTGAAACTGGAAAGGTCCATTCTCGTCTTAGATTATTAACTTACCTTCCATTTTTCTAAAATAAAAACTTTGACAGAAATGGCAAGGTAGTATTTGATGGGTTCATTCTTCTCTTCCCCTTTGACGTGATTTTTGGAAATGTAGTCTTGTTGTTTTGTAGGACCTGGGGGTGCAACTGGGTCTGGTTTGCCTGGGTTTCTTGTCAAAACCACTTATTGGTTTATGAAAATTGGAAAACCATAGTTGAAACTGAGCTTTTTGAAAGCCATACGGATGACCCAACAAAATCTATCCAAATCAATATGACATATCTTTTTCTTATATTCCATAAACCAGCTCCTAAGGTCCCGTTGGCAAGGATTTGAGGTCTCTTGGTCATACCAGCCTAAGGATTTGGGGTGTCTTGGTCATACTGGCTTAGAGACCTCTAAGTTTGAAACTTCGAGTAAGCTTAATACCAAAAATCCTTGATGTCTCTTGGGTCCAGGCCTTTGGGGCAAGCGCAGGAAGGTATAGGGGAGCAAAGCTCCAACTCCTTGTTATAAATATTTTTTTTTCCTAAACCGAACCGGCCAATATTTGTTATTCTAATTGACTTTGTTCTGTTAGTTTTATTGGTTTTTCCTGTTTCCCATTTGCATCCTAGTAGAGGACTTGAAAAGAATTGAGAGATCATATGGGATGGATTGTCCCAAGTGTCAGAGAAATCCCATATTAAAAAAAATAAGTCAAAAGCAAACTCATGAATATATTTTTCTTATTTCTCAGGGATGCTGCTAGAGCTTGTAATGAAGATTTCCATGGATGGGCTTCTTCTGTATTCCCGATAAATGATCTCAAGTCTCGCTCTGTGCCGAAATCACAATCGTTTGGAAAGCATAAGCTGGCAGTCACTGACTCTTCCAAGTCTTCTAAATCCAAGTTCAGAAAGACTGGAGCAGACCATGGAGAGAGTTCCCACCTGATTGCTGACCCAGTGGTGCATCAGATGCCATCGGTTATCCCGGAGGATGTCCATAACTTATATTCCCTCAGTTCACCAATTATTACAGACTACTCATTCCCATTTGGCATGAATGAGTATCCATCACCAGTAGAAGAACCAGAAAGTCTGGGGATGGTCCCTGATAACTATATCCCGGGTTTGATTTCAGGTCTCGACATAAGCCCCAACTTTACCGATATTGGCTAGGTTCCTCCACATATCCAACCAAGCCATTTATCTGAACTGAAGCTATCTTAATTACCACAGAACAAGGATCATTCTGAGGCCACTACCCAGTTAGCCAAGATATTATGATCAAGTTCCAACCTTCAACTTCCATTGCCAGGATGAATCTGATCTACTTCTCTTTCTGGGAATTTCATTGAAGGATTTTGGCCAATGTAGCTCTTTGCACAGGTTGGATGCACGGTTTTCTTGTTGAGAATCTAAGCATCGGTTCGGGAGGACAAAAGAACCGAAAGGGACTCGATATTCGATGTTCTTTGGGAAAACTGTGGTAGTTATATTGAGGATTTTAGTCTCTGTTGCATGTTTTCCCACATAGGATTGGGTAGGGCTGGAAAAATGTTGATAATTGAAATTTCTGGAAGAAAATGATATACCCAATTTTTGTCTATTCTTTCATTCTCCTCTCAATTTAGCATTCTGTTGAAATTAATAAGCCTTCAAAATTAACAAACCTCTCATTTGGCTTCACACAGGATATAATGAATGACGGAAAGAAAATGGATAAAATTATTGTAGTGCTGTTACAATACTCTCTATACTATTTTTTAATCTAAATTGAGTACTTACCATCTATGTATACAAATGCTTAGCTACTAAATTATGTTTTTTTTTTAAATTTAAAGTTATTTCATTGAAATTACGTTCAAGAAATGAATACATCATAAAATACTAATTCTTATAAGTTTTAATGGGTTTATTATTATAATCATTTTTTATTGTTTAATTATTAATAATTATATAAAAAGTTAAAAATGAATGGATTATTATTATTATAAAATGGAATAACGATTGATGGACTTAAAAAAAACATTTTATTTATAATTTTTAGAGGAGACAAGTGATTGTGAGTTCGATCTCCCACCTCTACATGTATAAAAAAATATCCAAATATTAATCAACTATAATCAATAAAAAATTATCCATTATATCGATACAATATAATTAATAATTATTGATTTACATGTATGCTCAAAAACAAATTTATTGATTTACATGTTATCTAATTTTTCTATATCTACAGTTATTTTTTAAAATTTATATTCGTTTATTATTTTACCTAAATTATACTAGTGCTGCAAATACCTCATTCCTAAACATATCGAACCTAATTTAAGAAAGTATAAAAAAAATGTAAAAAGAAAAATCAGTATAATTACCAAACTAACCTTAAACTAAGCTTTGGGCCCAATGGTAAACATTCTAAGCCCAAAGAGATTGGCCCATAAATGATTGTTATTATTATTATTATTATTATTATAAGAATATTTGCCTAAGTATATCATATTGTATAAATAATTACAACAAGTGAGGGTGGATGATTCGAACTCATAGCCTTTTAATCAGAGATAAATGTCAATTACCACTAAGCTAAACTTATTTTGCATATAAATAATTACTAATATATCATTCAATCCAAAAATATTATACAAACATGCGAGTTGGTTCATATTTTAAGAATAAAAATCTTGCAATCATTTTTTTTGGTACAATATATTGGGAGGGGATTCGAACTCACACCGTCGATTGAAAGTATATGCTAATTATCGTTGAACTATGCTCGCTTTGATATCGACGTCTTACAATCATATTAAAGGCAATAAAGGCAATAAGACAAAGAAAATATATAATGAAATAATGTAAGAGAATAGATTTATAAACAAAAATGTGGTAAATAAATTTGTAACCATTTAAACAGATTTCTTTTATTATTATTTTTTTTTACACTTAGGCAGAGTGGTTCATGTAACAATTTCCTAATAAATTGTTGATCCATAGAAAACTTAGAAACGACTTAGAAACGACTTCTATTTCAAGGTTTGACCACACGTCGACATTTAAGCACCTACTCCAATCAAGATATCAACTACCTGTCAACATTTTCATCAATATTTCTATGTATTCATGAGTTTGATATCAACACGAGGAATAAATCGAATTTTCCTAGTATTGTAAAAGAACTTGACAAAATATAAAAAATATCACAAAAAAAAATCATTAATATAAACATAATATTAATATTAATCATTTTTAACTTGTTTAGAAATATTGAAAGGTTTGTTTGTTAATTTAAATATTTTTATGATTTTTTTATTTTTATAACATTTTTAAAAATATCCATCGACATCAAAATTCTATCGATAATTTCCATCACATTTTTATAAAATTGAGACTTCGATATTTCCATCGATATTAACATTTAAAATCAGGCTCGGCACGCAAATGGAACAAGGCTTTGAAATCCCAAAATTTAAAATCAAATTCTTGTAAATTAATTTTTTTAGTACAATTAAATTGATTCCTTAAAAAAAAGGTTAAATTACAAATTTAATCCTTAAAATTTAAATAACGCATATAATATTTACTTGAATTTTCAATTTTGTATCAATCTTAAACTTTTCAATTTAGAAAAATAAAAAGAAAAAAGAAAAAATTTTCCGAAGTTATTAAATACAAAATTGAAGTTATGTTTAGAAATACTAAAATTTCAAATTCCGTAAGTAATAAGTCCTTAGTCATAGACCTACTAAATATGTTTTATAGTTCGACGACTAAAGAATTTTACTTAGGTCGGAAGTTGGATTGTCCATTCTATATTTTATTGTATTAAAAAAAATTAAAAATTATTAAACAGTTTTGAAATGTTAGAAGTAAAGTTGTAATTATTAAACAATAACAGTAACAATTTGAGTGACATTAAAATAAATTGTGCTGTGTATTTGTTTTTCCCACTGAAGCGACTGAGCTTCTCCCTCTCCCTCCATATTCCAAAACCCTTCTCTCTCTCTGTTTAGGGTTGGAGTTAGGGTTTTTGCTTTCTTCCATTTTTTATCCAATTTCTAGTTTTTAGGTCTTTAATCGTATCGTTTTAGGCATATTCAATTCTTTAGTTTTTTTTTTTTTTCTCTTTTGGGTTCCTTAGTTTGCTTTTGATCTCGATCTGGGTTTGTTTGCAATGGATACACGCAAGAGAGGGCGGCCCGAAGTTGGCTTAAATGCTAATGGCGGCTTCAAGATGTCCAAGCAAGGTTTGTTCCTCCTTTTTTTACTTCCACATTCCGCTTCTGATATCTCTTGTACTTCTTTGATTTCTCTCTGTTTGCTCTGCCGTTCTACGTTATGTTATTTTAAAGAGATTGTTGTTTTCTTTTTGGCGATACTTGTGTTGTGGAGGAGGAAGGCAGTGTGTTGAACTGTAGGTTCGAAGTTGAGTACCAGTAAATTCATGGCAATTGGCAAACACTGGAATTCGCTATTTCTTATTTTTGGTTCTGTGGGTTTTTTTTTTTTTTTTTTGGGTTAAGTGATAACATTTATTAGGAAAATTACGACTTTGAACTTAAGATTAAGTGCTTGTTAGTCTTAGCTTGATGATGCTTTGCTTGTAAACTCCTTGTGTGGGGAGGGTCTAAGAAACTAAGGACTCTTTGTGATGCTAATGAGGAAGGAACTCGGTATGTGAAAATTCCCTGTTCTTGTTAGTTACCTTCATAGTATGGAATCTTATATTTTCTTATTTTGGGGATTCTTTTGTTGTAACCATAACAGCTATTACATCTTCTCTCAAGTTTCTTAATCTTTCTGTTTCTGTTGGTCTATTCTTTTAAATCATATGTTTGCGGTTTGGTTCTAACTTTCAAGTTTAAACTACAAGGTTGCTATGTGAAGCAAAGATAGTCAAAGAAATTACCGGGTATTGATTGATTATAGTGTGGCATTGAGTGTGGAAATATTCCTTGCATAAATTGTTGTTTTTTACTTAAATTTGTTACTTATCGTTAACTGCAGGGGTTTCTATAAGTTTGGAAGCCACCCCCACCTAATTGAGGGCACCTGAATATGTTATTATAGAGACCATAAAAATCTTACACGGGCATATTTAATCTTAAGAATTTATTTGTTGGTTAAATAATTCATTAACTGTCAGAAATTTTAGCGTAATCATATTAAAATCTAAAAAATGTGACTGAAAAGACAATAATAAATTTTTTGTACAGAAATGGAGTCCTTATCAACTGGTGTAGGAAGCAAATCGAAGCCATGCACCAAATTTTACAGGTTCAAATCTTCACTCATCTAAATAAATACTCTGAACCTATCTCATCCTTAACTGAATATTTATAAATGATTGTAAGAAAATAACTTCCATTGTACAAGATTTAGTTCTGTAATCTTTCTCATGAAACAGGCAAAAATGCATAAGGTAATTCTGTATAAATAATTAACAAATTCTCTCTTTAAGTATAAAAGATTTAACAAATTTCTACAGTATGATTCATATGGAGGCCATCAATGTATTCTTATTCCTATGAAGAAGGATAATTTGATGGATTCTTTAATTGAAATGAAAGCTTGGTACCTTTTCAAAATAAATAAATAAATGAAGAGGATAATACTGTGAAGTGGTATTATATTTTTTTTTCAGTTTTTACTGGATTTGTACAACTTTCATTCAACGTCTTTCTGGTAAGTCTAATAAATATATGTTCATCAAAAAAGTCTAACCAATATATGTTTGGTCACAATTACCCAATGCACCAGAATTTACTTTTGAAAAATACTTGGCTCCTTAAGTAAGGAGCAATTTTGTCCTTACCATCATTAAATAATGTTTGACAACTATGAGAGAGAAATGCAAAAACAGATACTTTTTATAAAAATTAATGAGTTTTCAATTTTTTAATGGGAGGATATGATTTGGTCTCGTTGTTAAGGAGCCAAATATTTTACTTTACTTTGTGGTTAAGAGTGTTATGGCTAGTGCTTTGATAGTGATGTTAATAACTAAAACACTTTCTTTAGTGGCACATTACAGGGCTGTCTATTAACTGAACCTTTGGAAAGTACTTTAAATTGTTTCTGTTTGTGTGTGTGTCCTCTCAAATACATTGGAAGCACCTTTTCATATGTAGTCAGCCAATCATCTGGTTAATACTTTTAGGTAGTAAAACTATTTTCAGAACATTACAATCTGCTCCAACAAACTATAAAGTAGGACAGCAATGTCATATTTTTCTTGTACAAGTAACAAAGTAGTAAGCCTTGAAGATTATTTTCTTACGATACCAAAACATTTTAGCCCCTCTCCTTCATGTTAACCAATTTTACAAACTATGTGTGAGATAGTGAGTGAATATTCTTCTCTCTTATCTAATCTATTCTGATTAAAGAAAGGAATATTTGGGACTTTGAAAATCAGCTGCCTGATTGAACCCATATTCTGAATCTCTGTTTGCATATTCTTTGCTGGTGCTCATGATGTGGAAAATTAGCAGTTTCATTGAATAAAGCTTCTGTAGATTCAGAATCTCCTTATAACTTTTTTTCTCTTTGTTTTTATTATCTTCCTTTAATGAATGGGGAACCATCGATACTTCTTTTCCATTGCTTATTATTTTGAACATAATTAATTTTTTTTCTTCTTTTTGTGTTCAACAATATGTGGGGTCAATGATTGTTTTAACCGATTGAGCTACTCTTATGTTGACAGTATCTTTATGGTGTGGATGAACTTGAAAGGACTTTCTTCACCTTGTTTTGACCGAGCATATCTTTTTTTAAATCTTAATCTAACTTGGTAAACGTATGTAGTAGACTTCTCACTTGCATTACTGGCTGCCCATTTGTATATCATGAAATTAATTCTGACACCTTATATATGTCGAAAACATCAGTGTTCTCAATGTAAATTCCCTTTGTTCTGACCGTTTCTGTTATGGTTTCAGCACTACTGGCTGCCCATTTGGTGAAGGATGCCATTTCCTGCATTATGTTCCTGGCGGCTATAATACGGTTGCTCAAATGATGAACCTAACACCTATTCCTCCAGCAGCTAGAAATATGGCAGCCCCTCCTCCAATGTCCAACGGCTCGGCCAATCCCGTTGTTAAAACTCGTATGTGCAACAAGTATAACTCCGCTGAAGGCTGCAAATTTGGTGAGAAGTGCCATTTTGCTCATGGAGAATGGGAACTTGGAAAGCCTTTAGCTCCATCTCATGATGATCTTCGGGCCATGGGACATATTCCGAACCGTTTACCCAGTAGGATGGAAGCTGCTCCATCAGGCCCTGCTGCTAGCTTTGGCGCCTCTGCGACGGCAAAGATTAGTGTGGATGCTTCCCTTGCAGGAGCCATTATAGGGAAGGGTGGTATTAATTCCAAGCAGATTTGTCGTCAAACAGGAGCCAAACTTTCGATCAGGGACCATGAATCAGATCCCAACCTCAGAAACATTGAACTCGAGGGAACATTCGATCAGATTAAGGAAGCAAGTGCAATGGTGAGGGAGCTAATCGTAACGGTTTCAATGGCAGGCCCTCCGAAATCAGCAGGTGGCACAGCTGCTCCATCAGGTAACAACCATAAGACTAAACTTTGCGATAATTTTGCCAAAGGGTCTTGCACATTTGGAGAGAGATGCCACTTTGCGCATGGTGCTGCCGAGTTGCGCAAATCTGGTGCATGAGGAAAATCCTTTTTTCTAGATTTTTTTCCTCTGAGTTTAGAATTATGGTCCAATCTCTTTTGTATTAGATGGAGCTCTTTTATCTTGAATTGTCACATGGCCACGCAACCTTGTTAGTCGAAATCGACAGTTTTTATGGTTTAGAAGTCATTACAATTTTCTTGACCCATGCTTTCTCTCTTGGACCTCGTTTACTTTCTTATGCTCCCATTTTTGCTATAATTTTACGAATGTGGGGATTAGTTGAACACGAGTCGGTATATTTTCTATTTAAGGCTAACGTAATGTTGCCCGTGTGAAAAGTCATTTGGCTCGACCATCATAAGTTGGCCCCGTGGTCATTGAAGCAATAGAAATGGTGAAGAGAGATTTAAAAATAGAGAGTAATTTGGTTCTATACTAGATCAATAACTTGTGAAATCTTAATTAACAACTTACTAATAACCTTATGTTTTCCATTAATCATTTACTCGAATAATAATATAATGATGAGCACTTTAATGCTTTATAGGTCGAAGATGTGAAAAATACATGCAACTTTGCAAATATAACAGTCTTGAGATTTAAACTATCTAGAATTAATAAGGATGTTCAAGTTAGTAATATACTTGTATACTAAGGTATTTACCAACTAACTATTTAGTTAAATTTAAAATGATATTAATATTTTTGTTATAAATTTTTCATAATTTATAATTTATAATATATTATATGTTACGTGTTCTAATTTTAACAAAAATAAAATTAGTTTATAACATGTAATAATATATTTATAAATTTTTTTTATCTTTTTTAATATAATAATGTATTTTAAAGTTTCAAATTCAAAATCTAAAACATTATAAGGTTTGTTTTCAAAATTTCACTATTTCGATCATTGAATTCGATAACAAAGATTCACGAATCTGAAAACAATAAACAGAATCTAGATTGCTAACCAATTACCAAACACACCCTAATTTTTCCAACTTGTTGTTGCAAAATTTCATGCTGTTTAGGAGGTGTATGATGTTAACAAACTCAATAAACATTCTCAATGTTAAGGTAGAAAAAAAAATGGTATATCTTGATTTATTAATCATGAGTACTATTCAATGGAAGTTTGTACTGTCACACGATTTGTGGTATTTAGGGATTCAGTTTGGTAATATTCATACTTCTTGTTTCTCGTTTTATTTTTTCTAATAAATAAAATAGAACTGCATTTGGTATGTTTTGTTATAATTTCTTGTTTTTCATTCTCTAAAATTTTAAATAAAAAAAAAAGAAAAATATTTTATATGAAAAATATTCTTTTAATTAAAATTTAATTTTTAACATTTATTATGCATTTTAAAATAAATGATGATAAAATAATATTTTTATTTTTGTTTGAGAAAAATGGAAACAAGAAAAAAAATTTAAAAAAAAACTTAATTTTGTTGTTTAAAATTTTTTTACAACAATTTAAAAAATATTTCTTTTAAGTACTAGAAATCAGAAATAAGAATAATTACTAAACAGTAGCGTTTAACCAAATGGGCCTTGGAGTCTCACCTCAACTTGAAAATCTTAATTTTCTATTGTAAATCACTGTCCTATCAAATTTTTCATAGACTGGGTGTCCTAGGCATACTTCAATAATACCAATAATTTTTTTTCTAGAAAGAGATTCGATTTTGTAAGTAATGTCTTGATCAATTGAACTATATTACATATGCTCCATATTTTTTTTATTCAAACTAATGCTACTTATTTGTGTAATGGCATAACTACAAATTATTTGAAGTTTTTTTTTAGTTTTAAATAGTTCAATAAATGTAAAGTGAAAATTTGAACATTCGGGCTTATGCAAGGTAGCAGGTATTTTATCTACTAAACTACACTGAGTCATTTTGAGCATTTGAATAAATCCTATTAGTATATTTATAGACAGTCTCTCTTTTTGACGGTGTAGGTGTAGTAGTAGAAATCTTGTTCTAATTCACAAGTAATTTTTTCTTTTTTTTTAGTACGATAATGGTGTGAAGTAGAGAATTTGAACCTCTGATCTCAGAGACTATGGGTGCTTTAACTAGTTAAACTACGTTGATGAGATCTACCAATACCTTTTTATTTGATGCTATGTTTTTTCTAATTTTGTGTGTGTATGTATTTTTCTTTGACAACTCTCTCGTTGGGTAACTTCTAAAATTGCTCCACCAAAAGCACACCATTTTAACTTAGAGAAATTTTCATTTATTCAAAGAGATTCCCCCAATGTGCTCCTAAGTTACCATCATATAATATGGTATTTCTCAAAAAAAAAAAAATCATATAATATGGTAGATCCATATCCACTTTTAATTGATGATTGTTTTGTAATTCTTCATAAAATATTCAACATCCTAAAATTGTTTGCCGTCTATGGTCAACCAAAGTGAAATGCTATTGAAAAAAAAAAGAGTAAAATAAAATTTTGGGATTAGTAATCATAATTACGTAAAAGGATTGAAAAGTATAAAATTTACAATTTTTTTTTTGTCATGAAACAACTTGTATCCATCACACAAATTACTAGTATATCATTTTAAAAATCAATCTCACAATTAAATAATTATTAAAATTTAGAATGGGTAAATTAGGAGGTCAAATCTCATGAGCACACAATACTTCCAAAATAAAAAAATCTCAAAACCCCAAAAAACCATCCATTTTCGAAACCCACCCCTTTCTTCTTCCTCCAACCATCAGTTTTTCTTTTCTTCCTCCGACCCTCCGCCTCTGTCTACCTTTCTCTCCGTCCGGTTCCATTTTTCTCTGTCTCAAGAACATTTCGTCTGCGTTTATCCCCTTCGAAAAGAGATTTCTGTTGGTTCTTTTTCTCCAGTCGTTTCTGTCTACCTTCGTCTCCGGTCGACGCCTGCCTGCTTTCATCTTTGGCCACCTCCATCTTTCCCAGTTGCCAGAACGGTTCATCTCATGATTGAAAGGTTTGCATTCCAACAGTTGTTTTCAATTTTTGATCATTTCGTGTGGAATATTGTATATATGAGGATATATATTACACTGATTTGATTAGAATGTATCTTATAACTCAACTTGTATACATGCGGATCTCCGGATATAGTATTTTGAATGTATATACGCGGATATATAAGTGGATATATACTTTGATTTTGAATATATTTTTTTAATATACTGATATATGTTTATTGAGACTTCAAAAGATGTTTGTGTGATTTTGAATTGTTTGAAGATCGAACACGAATGTGGGAGTGAATTAAGGGAAAATTAGTCTTTTTTGAAGGAGTAAATTAAGGGATTTGTGTTGAAAATTAGTATGAGTCCACGATAATTAAAGAATTATGATAATAATTTATGAAATTAAATATTTTATATTTCAAAAAAAACAAATAACTATAATAAAGGTAAATGCAATAGATAAGGGTAAAATCAAAATTAAAATAAAATCCTGTAGAAATCTAAAAGTGTAAAATTAGAAAATTTTAGACATTTGTGTAAATAAGTTTTTAAAACCGCCCTCCCAACATATTATCTAAAGTTTTTTTTTTTTTTTTTTTTGCAATAAAATGGGCTGACATCCAAATTAAAGCCCAAATAGTAAACTAAATAAATGGAAGGGAGCCTGCCAATACTTGGCCCATGCTAGAGAAGGCCCAATAAAAGTTAAATAAAGTTTCAATATTTGAATTGAATGATTATATATTAAAATCATGAAAAAAATTTAAGCCAAGAAATTATAGTGCGCTTGATTAATCAGTACAATGCTTATCAATAGTCTCAGAGTTTAACTCCTCTTATTCTCAAATTTCTTTATAAACGATTATGATATTCCAAGTACTCTTACTATGAGACTTTTTTTGTATAATAATAATAATAATAACGACAAATTTTACTCCTCAAAATGTATCAAAATTTACTCTAACTTTAAATGTTGAAATCTCTATCTGAATTCTTTACTCGATCCAAATTACATAAAACACTCTCTTTAAGCAAATATCACTCAGATAATTAAGTTAGTATACCATGCTTAAAATATTTCAATTGGAAAGAATAAAACTTAAAATCATGAGCTTCTTTTATAGCCCTTAGAGCACACCCCTCTTTATACATTTTCGGGGTGGGATAATATTTTGTCCAAAAAGACATAGGGTGGGTATGAAATTGATAGGATTTCAAAGAAAACTAATATTAAAGCTAGTTTTATAAAATCTATGTCTGATATAAAATTGATAAAATTTTAGGAAAAACCAACATTAGAGTCCTTTTTTTAGTTATGCTTTTTTACCCACTTATTCAATCGTAATCAAACTTAGTTGTGCAAGTAAATTAAAGGAAATTTAATATAACGCGAAAAAAATGTCACAATTATCTAAATCTAGAGTCTAATTTAATGAAATTAAAAATTTGATACACATTTCAAAGTTTAAAGGTAAACGTTAAAATTTTCTTTTTATTTTAGACTTTATTTGTCAAATAGCGTGCATGTGAAGCATGTATTGGTTAAAAGTGACTTTTGTTTAATTCAATTATTTGAAAGATCGAACCATCAACCTTAGAAATAGTAATAAATATCTTTATCCACTAATTTTTAGGAAAATTTTATTCTTCTAGCAAATAACAAAATAGGTACTCCGTCCAAAAAAATAGGTAAAATTAAATCCACCAAATAATAAAATTCCTAAAAGAACATGCCCTGAAAATTACATGGATGGTCCCAAAAATCGACCCATAAAAGAACATGCTCCAAAAAGACACTGATGGTCCATAAACATTTATCCGACGTGGAGCCTTCTCAAATAACA